TTTGTGCGTTTGGTCCCTACCTTATTTTTTAACTTGGATGATCCCTACTGTTTATATTTGTTGTGCATTTGGTCCCTGCCTTACCTCCAAATACTATTTTGCCCTTTTTAATTTATTTTTTAATTAATTTTCTTATTTATGTATTTATTTTTTATATATTTTATAAAATTAATAGACCTCACATATTTGTATCTCCTCACCCTAAACCTGAAACCACATTCGAGAAATTTAAGCTCGGTCCCACCAGTCACTATTCCATTTGTCATCCTCCTCAACTTCTCTTTCCTTTCCATCTTTAATGACATCAACGTCTTCACTATCCCTTCTTTTTTCGGTCCTTCAACTTCGGCGAACCAACACCACAACCCTTCTATTGGGTTGTGGTGGTAGAAAATTCAATGAAGAGACAATGGGTTGTGGGGTTGGTTCGTCGGAGTTGAAGGACCGAAAAAATAAGGGATGATGAAGACGTCAATATCACTAAAGATGGAAAGGAAATAGAAGTTGAGGATGATGAGATATGGGATGGTGACTAGTGGGACCCAACTTAAATGTCTCAATGTGGTTTCAGGTTTAGGGTGAGGAGATGCAGATATGTGAGGTCTATTAATTTTTTTTAAATATATAAAAAATAAATACATAAATAAGAAAAAAAAATTTAAAAATTAAAAAGGGCACAATAGTCTTTTGAGGTAAGATAGGGACCAAATGTACAACAAAAATAAACAGTAGGGATCATCCGAGTTAAAAAATAAGTTAGGGACCAAACGCACAAATTACCCAAACTACAGGGACCATTCGTGTAATTTACTCTTACCTTTTCGGTGTGTTCAAATCTGCGTAACAATCTTTTTTTGTATAAATCTAGGTAACAAACTTTTTGGAAGTGTTCACATATGACCATTATGACCGGCTGATAACCTGCTACAGCCGGTCATAATGGTCATATGTGAACACTTCCAAAAAGTTTGTTGCCTATATGTGTAAAAAAAAGATACTTACCCAGATGTGAACAAACCGAAAATTTAATTACCTTATTAAGTCCATTTTCCTAATGGTCCATACTAGCAAACTTTTATTGTGAGTTTAGTCTGTTTTATAATTAAAAGAGTTTAAAATGATTTTTTTTCTTTACTCCACTAATTTTTAATTAAAAATAATAAAAATACTCTCTCTCTCTCACTCTCTCTCTCTCGCTTCCTACACTTCCATTCTCGTCCATTTTCATGTCCCTACAACCTTAAACTGATCTCGTCACTGATTTTCTTCACGGTAAACTTCAATAACTTCACCACTTCTTCCAGCTTCGACACACATACACACACTGGATATGAAAACTAAAATTGCAATCTGAAAAACATTTTATATGGGTTTAAACAAGTTTATGTTACGAGTTGTCGTGAAGAAGACAATGGATTTTGGGTTCCAATTCCGTTCTAAAGGTAGATTTTAGGTGTCGATGATTTCGTTGATTGTCGTTGACTCAACCTCAGCAAGGATTCATCGGAGCCAATAGAGATGGATTGATCCCCGATGATGGTGGATTGAAACCCTTCTCTGGAAAAACGTAGCTAGGGTTTTTGTAAACCCACCACGAGATCTAGCCCTAAAGCTGGTGACTCGGATGTTAGCAGATGGTCGATTTCGATGGTAGATCTTTGGAGTTTATATGTGTCGATTTATAGAGACTTGGTTATATTTGTGATTTACATGTTTGCTTGTATTGAATTTGATTCAAATCTTCATCTGGATTATAAAACTTCATATGGTTCCTTGATATTCATCTTGTTCATCTTTGTATGCATATATCAATCAGTAAGAGAGACAAATGGTAGAGGTTTACATATTTGATAGGTCTAATGTTTGAGTTGCAGATATGAAAATTTTTGTTTGAGTTAATCAGATGGTGGTGACCAGGCACTCGGGTTCAACCTCTACCTTCTTGACTGCTTTAATTGCCATATCAGTGGAGAACTGGAGATTAAAGAAGGCATAAATATATATGACTTGCACCATTGGTCCAAAATTGAATATTTTTTGTGGTTTTGGTCCCTGATAAAATTAAAATAACTTGAAAGGACTATTATGCCCTTCCTATTCTCTTTTTACATTTCCTTAAATATATTTTAATATTTTCAAAAAAAAAACCCACCCCTACATTCGGTAACCCCCCCCCCCCTATTCTCTCTCTCTTTCTTGTAGCAGTAAAAGAAACCATATTCATGGATATTCAAGGTCATCGGGAGCAAACTAATAAATTCGGTTTTTATGATCTATAAATCCACACAAGAATCAAAACAAATCTCCATGATAATCAAAGTATCAAACCCATTTAAAGAGGTCAATGGTTGTTATAGGGTTTAACTGTTAGGGTTTATAAACCCACTTAACTGGTCGTCGATGTGCTCGTGATTTCATTCACAGAGGTGGGTGGTGGTGGTCGTCGTTCCATTCCTGGTGCTTCCTTCATACCTGCTCGATTCGAAAATAGATTCTCGATGAACACACACAATGGACATGGATGTGAAGATGGTGAACTTATTGGTGTGAAGATGACGATGACTCAAAGTGTTTGTTCCCAGAATTATGAGATAGAGGGGGGAAGAGATCAAGATCAAAGTTCCGGTAAGCTTGATAATCATAACGACGACTCTTTGTCTGGGCTGTCTTCGCATCAAACACACACACACACACATAATGAAACCACATATTTTGGGTGTAAGTAACTGAAATCAGAATCAAATAGCACCATCATGGGTTGTCTTTTAAGAAAATTTGCACATGCCTATAGAGTAATTAACATCATTGTCAGACCTTTGTTCCTGAAAATTTGTAACTGGTGGGTAGATCTCAAGAACATACTTTGCACCCTGTGAGTTTGAGAAATTTATTCATCTAGTGGGTTCATATGAAGGACATGATTTTTGAACTCTTTGGGTTAATCCAAGTTGTAGGAAAAAGATGAGATACATGTGCATAATCCAAGTGCCAAAACGGTGAAAGGGATACAATCCAAATGCAAGAATCGGTTGTTTGAGAAGGGAGAAATAATATGTTTGTTGGTGGAATTGATTATTTGAAAGAAAGAAAATCAAATCCCTTTGTTGATAGTGATGTTGATGGAGCTTTAATGGAATATGGGTGCAGTCGTGACTCGTGAACAAGGGTCGGATCGCCGATGGGTTTGCCTCAAACTGAAGCTTCATACATGAAAATGGAGATCCCATGGAACATCCTCCTATTTTCCTTGTGTTGTGTGTATGTGTGTGTTTTGAGAACGAAGACGATGAGGAGATGATGTATGTGTGTGTGTGAGAAAGAGAGGTACCCGTGAGTAGGGATAGGTGGGGTTTTATTTTTAATTTTTTAATTATAAAAATCCTAAAACAAAATATAAAAATGCAAAAAACAAATTAAAAGGGTATAATAGTCTTTTTATGTTAGACAAGGACCATAACCACAAAAGAAATTCGATTTTGGACCAGTGGTGCAAGTTGAAAAGATTTTGGACTTCATCCACAGTTTTCTGCTAACCACATGGACCAAATTTGCTCTACTAATTTTTAATTAAAAATAATAAAAATACTCTCTCTCTCTTTCTCTCTCTCTCTCTCTCTCTCTCTCTCTCTCATGTCCCTACAACCTTAAACTGATCTCGTCACTGCTTTTCTTCATGGTAAACTTCAATGACTTCGCCACTTCTTCCAGTTTCGACACACATACACACACTGGATATGAAAACTAAAATTGCAATCTGAAAAACACTTTATATGAGTTTAAACGAGTTTATGTTACGGGTTGTCGTGAAGAAGACGATGGATTTTGGGTTCCAATTCCATTCTAAAGGTAGATTTTAGGTGTCGATGATTTCGTTGAATGTCGTTGACCCAACCTCAGCAAGGATTCGTCGGAGCCAATAGAGATGGATTGATCCCCGATGATGGTGGATTGAAAACCTTCTCTGGAAAAACGAAGGTAGGGTTTTTGTAAACCCACCACGAGATCTAGCCCTAAAGCTGGTGACTCCGATGTTAGCAGATGGTCGATTTCGATGGTAGATCTTTGGAGTTTATATGTGTCGATTTATAGAGACTTGGTTATATTTGTGATTTACATGTTTGCTTGTATTGAATTTGATTCAAATCTTCATCTGGATTATAAAACTTCATATGGTTCCTTGATATTCATCTTTGTATGCATATATCAATCAGTAAGATAGACAAATGGTAGGGGTTTACAGATTTGATAAGTCTTATGTTTGAGTTGCAGATATGAAAATTTTTGTTTGAGTTAATCAGATGGTGGTGACCAGGCACTCGGGTTCAACCTCTACCTTCTTGACTGCTTTAATTGTCATATCAGTAGAGAACCGGAGATTTAGAAGGCAGATATATATATATATATATATATATTATATATATATATATATATATATATATATATATAAAGAGAGGGGGGGGGAAGGGAGGGAGGGAGGGGAGTTGGGTGTGTATTTTCTTTTTTCTTTATTTTTGCAATAAAAAGAAATTAAGAAAATAAAAGAGTAAGTGCAAAATCTCATTATAAAAAATTCAAAACAAATTGAACCAAACTTTCTACAAATTCTTATTCAAAAAGAAAAATGTAACAATAGGGATCACTTTTTAAACGAAAGTGATAATTTTCATCTAACCACCGAGACTATTTTTGCAGTTGTCTTAAAATATTAATCAAGCAATAAAAGAAATAGATTTTGGGTAGATTATGGAACAAAAAGAAAAGATCCAGGACTAAAAATGTAACAATATTTTTTCAAAGTATATTGGTATTTGTATGAATATATAATGACATAACGAGTTAAAATGGGCTCGGATCACTATAAAAGATACTTCTATTTTGTAACTATTGGCACATTTGGTATATACTCAACCACCTTATGTATTCCATAATCTTCATCCTCTTCTTTAAATCCAAGCTTCCATCAGCAGTTTTACAATCGTCCCACACTCGAATCACAAATCATGACGCTGGACATCTTTCTTTCATTCTTCAAAACTCTTTATGCCGATGATGCCATGAAACCCATTCTCATTCTTTCACTCTCCATCATCGTCGTCGTCATCACGTTCTTCATTCTATCTTTTATCTCCAAACACCCTTCAATTTACTTGGTGGATTACGCTTGTTGCAGCCCCCCAAAAAGTTTACAATCACCCTCTGACGCCTTCTTAAGGCACTCCCGTATCAATCTAAGTTCCCACCCCGAAAGTGTCGACTTCCAAATGAAAGTCTTGGCTCGATCAGGTTTAGGCGACGAGACGTATTTGCCCCCAGCGATGCACAGTCTCCCTCCAACTCCTTCCATTGAAGCTTCGAGAAACGAGGCTGAAATCGTCATTTACTCATCCCTTGATTCGCTTTTTAAAAAAATGGAGTTAAACCCACAGGAGGTCGACTTTCTTGTTGTAAACACTAGTGTTTTTGCGCCTGTTCCTTCTTTAACAAGCATGATCATGAGAAGATATAACATGAGAGAAGATGTAAAAACATTTAATCTTTCTGGCATGGGGTGTAGTGCTGGATTGATATCTGTTAATCTAGCTCGTGATCTTCTTAAAATTCATAAGAACTCAAACGCTGTTATTATCACCACCGAGATTATAACACTGTTTTACTACACCGGAAAAGATCGTTCCATGCTTCTACCAAACTGCCTCTTCCGCATGGGTGGTGCGAGTGTTTTGTTGTCCAACAAAAAATGTTTCCGCAAGCAATCAAAGTATCGTTTACTTCACGTGGTACGAACCCACATAGGCTCATTTGATAAAGCCTATAAGTGTATCCATGAAATGGAGGATTCAGAGGGTAAAATAGGTATATCGCTTTCCAAAGACTTGCCCAACATAGCTCGTCAAGCTTTGAAAGCAAATATCCATGCATTTGCGCTTCAAGTCCTTCCTTTAACAGAAGTGTTCTTTTTTCTTAAGAATGTAATCAAGAAAGTTGTGTCTAAACGGAAGGACACCAAACCTTACGTACCAAATTTCAAGCGGGTATTCAAGCATTTTTGTGTGCATGCGGGTGGTCGGGGTGTGATAAACAACATGCAAACGGAATTAGGGCTGACGTGGCAAGACATGGAGCCATCAAGGATGACATTGCATAGGTTTGGGAATACGTCATCGTCTTCTTTGTGGTATGAGCTTAGTTACTTAGAAGCTAAAGGGAGGATGAAGGAAGGAGATAGGATTTGGCAAATAGCTTTAGGAAGTGGATTTAAATGCAATAGTGCTGTTTGGAAGTGTAACAGGAACATAACAAATCCACTTGATGGGCCTTGGTTCGATTGTATCGATAGGTACCCGATTCATGTCTCCTAACTAACTCCTAAGTGTTGGAGTTCAAGAGATCATTGTTGGCCCTTTTATTTTATTTTTCTTTAGCATTTTATATGGTATTTAACGTTCAATGTTTATCCTGATATGTAAAATAAAATATAGAGTAAATTAAAACTTTTACGGGTGTGCTAGTTCAAAAAATATGGATTTACTTCCAAAGTTTGATTTGTTGAATTGATGGTTCCTAAAGCGTAACGACCACTTTTTCCGTATTTTGTCAGTTTCTTCATCTCCTTCGTCATCGATCCACAACAAACATAATTTATCAAATTTAATCATAAAAATCGAACATAAATTTGAAATATACAAAATCAAAATTGAGATCTAGTATACTAGGCACTAGCTTAATTAGTTTCCACCATTTATGCATCATGTGCAATCTTTACCATCTTACTCTTGTCTCTCATTTACTTTCGGCTTGTTTCGATAGCATTTGTTTCCTAATTTAGTGCTAGAATATTCTTATGTTATATGTGTATTCATTCATTATTTACATACTCAAGGCATGTTATGTTTAATTCTATGTACTTTTCATTTTCAACTGTAATGATTGTATTTATCTTTTTCCTATTGTCACACGCCCTAGTTTTTTATTCATTCGGGGTTGAATTTTCATTAGCCGTCTCTTATATTTACGGTCTTTAGAATATCAATATTTACTGGATAACTTTTAGGATCATGATTGCAATCATTTTCCAAAATATGTGATTTCGACCTATATGTTTGAAGTATCACAAAATTTGATTTGGGATAATCCAAGAAAATCAATTTAGAAGTCAGGTCACTTCTAAATTCGAAATGCAGAATAATACTTTGTTGTTGTTTGATCTTGATGAGATAGAGAGAATTAGAAGTATGATTTTCGAGTGTATGAATGATCAACCCGATTTTAAAACCCTTGTCATCTTTATACAGATGTAAGAAATCGGTTATAAGTTGGTAAATGGAGGTTACATATATTTTGGGGCCAAAAAGGGTTAGTTATAAGACATAACTATCGTATGACATCATCATGATGTCACACCGCTAGGGGCTTTACCCCTTGGACCCCACTAGGGGCGCTGTCCCAAGACCCCGACAGGGGCGTTGCCCCTTAGAACCTCGTACCTAGGGGCGCTGCCCCCGGACCCCCATATTCTTAGTTCATATTTATCAACCCGAGTATGCACCTCGTACGTCCAGACGCTGTGAGTAAATAGAACTCAGTCTATCTTAATATTAATAATAACTACACTAAAATATATTGATAACACTAAAATTACCAATACAGTCTGCCTACTTCGTACCTCTCCTTGCCTATTCTTATGGGAATAAGGCATTGGTAGTGTTATTATTTTCTTGGTGGGAGCAAAGTATATATGTTGAATAGAAACTATCTAGCGTTCTTTTTTTGTGATCTATCGAGGAGAAGATAGAAGAAGAGAGTTTGGTGAATTAGTAGTGCACAATTCATACATTAAACATCCCTCCACATGATTGATATACTTACAATTATACATGTCTCACCTAGAGTCATGCTTGTCTCTTAGAGATTTGGCAATGGGTTGGTAACTTATATAACCTTGGGTTAGTTTATTGGTGCAAGTCATTCATTGCATATTATACATTGTTTATGTTTTATTCTTATATCATTGGTATTCGTTTACAATGTGTATTATTAGAGTTTTGCAATGTCTTACAAAGAATGGGGGTTTCCTTGCAAATACAAATGCAACAGATTTAAAAATTTGAGAACCCACCCATGCTTCTGTTGTCGTTTTTTAATGATTTAGTTTAAACTATGTCTGACTTTAAAGTTTCTTCCGGATGAAGATGAACAAAATGGAGAAGACAAGGGCAAAATGGTCATTTAGCATAGAATTAGCGGAACCAAACCATGCTACTTTACTCAAACATACAGACTGAACCTATAACTTTTGACATAGCATAAAGACGAAATTTAGAATTTACTCTAAAATAAACGCAAGCAATTATCCATAAACATGCATAAAGATGAAATTACATTTTATATTTACAACAAATAAAATGTAAATTTCGCATCAATCCATACATACCCTTTATGTCCAGCTGGCAAGAAATGAGGTATTACAGCACAGGATGTTATGATCAATAACGTGGTGGTCCTCGGTGTTCATAAGATCCCCAACCACCACCACCACCACCACCACCACCATATCCACCACCTGGATGATACCTCATATCAGGGCTTCCATTTAACATTCCATATCCTCCACCACCTTCATTCATATAAAATTTCTAGTTAATCACATTAAACTTAACCAAGGGTATTTTAGACATTTCCACATTCACAAGACAAACAATAATGTGTGTGTGTGAGAGAGAAAGAAAATATACCAAGTCCACGTGTCCTCATTTGCTCTCCTCTAAGCTTCTCAATTTCACGAGCCATTGAAATAAGATTCTTTTCCATTGCTTCCTTTTGAATCACATGTTCTTCATTTGTTTTGCTTCATCATTTCATAATCTCTCCTATACACAATACATATATTTAAATAAATCTCAAAATAAAAACAATTTTGAATACAGACAAATTCATACCTCATATCCACAAGGTCTTTACGCATCCTATCAATATCACTCTTAAGTCCAACCACCTGTTCATTTTCAGCCTTCAATCTACTTGTATCTTTGGTCAAACCTTGAATTTGACTAGACAAATCTTGCCTCAATGAAGTCAATTTCTGGAATTCACTTCTTAATTGTCCCACATCTGCCATTAAAGGCTCAGCATCACGAAGCTCAGCTTCAAGTTTCATTCCTCTGTCAATTAAATCCCTGGCTCTTGCATCTTTTTCAGCATTTAATTTGGGGATGATTTGACCTAATCTATGAATCTCATCTTTCACAGCAGTTAATTCCCTTTGAAGACTCACATTTTCTTCTACTACATGTCCATTTTCAGCCATGATTCTTTGGATGTCTCGATGTTGGAGTTCAAGTTCTTCTTCAAGTGCAGCAGGGTGAGGAGCGAGGGGCCCGTGGGCCCGGTGTATTGGGCCCTCACGTGGGCCTCGTGGCATTCGATTCCTTCCAGACATTTTGTTATACCTGAAAAAAGATGAAAAGAGATTTATACTTCTTTATATTCAAATTCATAAGTTCCATGGTTAATAATCATGATTCATGAAACGATATCTTTGAATACTTGACCTCAAATTCGTAGGGATTCAAAAATTAGGATACACGAGAGACAAATTTGGGCTTCTTTTTTTACCAAAGCAAATTTTCTGAAGCTAGGAACAAAGGCTACAATGGAGAACAAACTAATGATTATAATTGAGAAAGAGGAAAGCCAAGAAGACGCAAGA